GTCTACCTGCTTACGTTTTTCTTTCCTCGGCATTGCACCCTGCAGACAAGATAATAAAATGATAGGGAATTAAGAGTTTTTGCGAAGGACAAAATATTTGCAAAAGTTTTGAATGTTTGGTTAAATTCCTCCAGCTGCACAGCAGAAGTGTAGGGACTCACAGAGCAGAATAGCCTCAAGTATCTTCAGGTGAGTCCACCCCTTTTCTCTCATCCGCTGGCACTTAAGTCACAATAACTCACCCCGAGACATGATTATGAAAAAATATTTTGAAAGGTTTCATTTACTTACGGCTGAACTGATAAAACAGGAATGAGACAAAACATGACGGACTGCAACAACAAGCCTTAAGAGATTCCCTGCTTTCAACAGACTGACTGATTCCAACAGACAAAAGAGAGGGGAAAAGCAGAGCAGAGAGGCGGGGCTCTCTTTGAATCAGAGGCACAGCAGGAACCATTGGTTACTGCTGGATAGATTGACAGCCAGCCCAACCAGAAAGGTCACTTCCAGCCAAACTTAATAAGGCTGCATGCGAGGTTGCAATAACTCCCAACAATAATTCCTTCCAGTCAGGCCAGTGATGAAGGAAAGAAGAGATAAATTTTCCAAAATCTGGAAAGCCACACATTCATCAGCCCTGTTTAAAGTTGACATTCTTGCCTTCTAAATGTTACAGTTACCGGCTTTTAACCCCAATGATTTCTGAGTGAAAGTTGTGTTGAAAACGTCTTGAAAACACTGGCAGAGGGAGTAGAGAAGCTGGCCGATAGATTGACAGCCACCCCAACCAGAAAGGTCCCTTCCAGCCAAACTTAATAAGGCCGCATGCGAGGTTGCAATAACTCCAACAATAATTCCTTCCGAATTTTGTTGCCTTCCTTTTCCCGTCCATTTCAGCCAGTCAGGCCAGTGATGAAGGAAAGAGATAAATTTCCCAAAATCTGGAAAGCCACGCATTCACCAGCCCTGTTTAAAGTTGACGTTCTTGCCTTCTAAATGTTACAATTACCGGTTTTTAACCCAAATGATTTCTGAGTGGAAGTTGTGTTGAAAACATCTTGAAAACAACACTGGCAGAGGGAGTAGAGAAGCTGGCCCATGCTGGACACCTTCACCACTATGAGATCATGCTTGTTTGGGTCCTTCTTTGCTGGTGGACCATCTGGATTGTGCTGCTTAAGGCAACCCACTAGACGTGGGCAAATCAGATTTATGTGGGCCCTGAAATGTTTGCCATCACAATTTGTGATTCCCAAAAGAGGTTCACCTTCAATTAACCCTTGGCTCTGTAAACATGATTCTACAATGGAAATGAAATATCTGGTTTTTTTTTTTTTTAAATCACTTATTTGGAAGAGGAATTAACAAGATGTCTTGTCCGTTTTTGTACATAGTGTCTTTTTCTAAAATATTTCGGATCAGGATATGTTTGATAGCTCTATTTAAAATGACTGGTTTTAACGTTTTCACAGCTAAGCGTTGTCTTATCTCAATAGATGCTTTTGCCCTTAAATTCTGATCTCTTTCCTCCCCGCCTTCTTCAAACCTCGCAGCATGCATGCAGTGTGTACGCATGTACCTGTATGTGTCCTGTTTCTTGTTTCAATATGTTGTGTCTTCTGATTCATGTAATCCATGGATGAAGACCTGCATTTCCATTCTGGTCAGACCTACTGATCCTTCCTTCCTTCTCTCCTTCCTTCCCTCCCTCCCTCTCTCTTTTCCTTTCTTTCTTGCATGCTCAGCTATTTACTTAACTTGTGTTTAAGTTCCAACTCTGCTTCTGCAGGAACACCAGGTATTCCAGGATCAAAAGGTATTGATGGACCTCCGGGGAATCCAGGTGTCCCAGGACCACCTGGGCCTCCAGGTATGAGTTAAAAGACCTGTCACGTGTGTTGTCTTCTGTCCTTGTTGATTCCCCAACACGGATGCTGTTCTGCGAGCATCAGACATCAAAGAATGGCTGTGGTGGCCATTCTTCTCCAAATTTCCACTCATTTGGATTGTTACTGTGCTACAGACGTCGCCAGGAAGAGCCCCTACCGCTTGTAATGTGTTGTCCTTTCTATTTTTAGGGGAAGTGGGGCGTCCCGGCCCCCCGGGTCTTGCAGGGGAAAAAGGACAGCCTGGCCGAGATGGCATTCCAGGACCAGCGGGGCAGAAAGGTGAACCAGGTAAGCTGAGCATCTTCCTTTCTGCTGTGTTTTGCCTTCTGTCTCTCTCTCTCTCTCTCTCTCTCTCTCTCTTTCACTTTCACTTTCATATTATGTACATATATTTGTTCATCATCTGGGTAAAACAAGTTGTTCTGGTGGGCAGCTAAGAAGTAACAGCAACGCCGTGCAAATGTTGAACGCCGAAACCCCAACGCTAGAGGCTCATCTAAGGTTGTTCTGTGGAGAAAAGACCCATTGTTACGAATAGGCCACGTCGGTCACAATGGGCCCGCTGTCCATTGATTTCCATGGGTCTGCTCTAGTTACGAATAACACTCAACTTGGCTTATAAAAATACAGAAGGCAACATAAGTAAAAACATAGCGCAAGACATATCATCGTTTGGGATGAGCCATTGTGTCATCGTTGTTACGTACCGTCAAGTTGTCTCTGACTTCTGGCCGCCCTGTGAACAAGTGATCCCTCCACAATTTCCTCTCCTCAAATGTTCTGCTCTGCTCCGGCAGACTCAACCCTGTGACTTCCTTTAGAGAGTCAGTCCATCTTGTATTGGGTCTTCCTCTTTTCCTGTTGCCTTCACCTTTTCCCAGCATGATTGTCTTTTCCAGAGAATCCTGCCTTCTCGTGGTGCCCCCAATGTAGGACAGCCTCAGTTTCAACGTCTTTCCTTCCAGAGATCGTTCAGGCTTGATTTGATCTCGGACCCACTAGTTTGTCTTTCTGGCAGTCCACAGTAACTGCAAATCTCTCCTCCAGCACCATATTTGAAATGAATAAGTCCCCCCCTCCCTATATCCATTGCGCCACAGATATACTCATCGGCCAAAATGTTTGCCTCCATCAACCAGTTTTGCATTTAGAAGACCCACACTATGGAACTATACCATCAGCGTCTCAATGATTACTGTTTGTTTTTTTTTTATTGTTGTTGTTCTTTAGGTCAACCAGGGTTTGGACGCCCCGGACCGCCAGGACTTCCAGGACTATCAGGCAAAGTTTTATCTTTCTATATACACATTGGAAGAAAGAGATCTTGGCTGAGTGATAATTCCTGGACTTTGTCTGCCTAAGGCAGATTATAAATGCTTCCCATTGTGATAAGAATCCTGTACCGGATGATGAAAGAGACCTTATCAGAGAGGCCAAGGAGCTGTTGCCAGCTAGACAAGAAACAGAGCTACGTAGATTCATGGACTGGCTTGTTATAAGGCATTTTGCTCTAGTTCAGATCTATAAGAGATAGTTATAGTGGCTTTGGAGATCAGAGCCGTTTCAGTAGAACCCCTGCCTCCATGGGAGATTGGTTCCAACCCACCCGTGGATGCTGAGAACCGCAGATAATAGCAAACGCTAGACATAGCATAAAAGAAAATATATATATAGGAAAAAAAAGTATTTTCAACAAAAAGAATACATAGCATGGTCTCTGTCTCCCTCGGGTGGCCAGTTCTGGTAAATATATTGTGAAAATACGTATTTCTAGGGGTTTTTTCCCCCTCTCCTTTTAATATATTTAATATTGTGAGACTATGGATAAGTGAAACCATGAATACCGATCCTGTGGATACAGGACTCCTACTGTGCTTAACTTTAGTGCAATCTCAGATCGCTTGAAGGTTAATGTAATGGAATTAGCGTGAGCCTGCTGAAGCCCCGGGAGGCAGGGTGTGCTCCCAGTGCCCTCATGCGCTGCTTCCATTCTTTTTTTTTTGAACAGGTCAAAAAGGCGACTCTGGTTTACCTGGACCCCCGGGAGCTCCTGGAGCCCCCGGTCTCAAGGGGGAAACGGGTCTCCAGGGATTTCCTGGCACTCAAGGTCCACCAGGCCCTCCAGGACTTCCTGGGCCACCTTCCGAAGGACCTAAGGGTAGCCCTGGGCCACCTGGAATACCGGGGAGACCAGGTAAGAAAGGGAAAGATCCATACACATTTTGCTGAACATGTTGCTGGTAGGTTATTGAGCTCGACTGAATGTGAGATTGGTCCTTTCAAGACTTATAAACTTGTCTGGTTGACATGATAAGTCATTACCTTGACACATCCGTAATTTAATCATTGGAGGTTATCCGAAACCCCTCTTGATAGACCTATCAAGACGGGGAGAAAAAAGGTAAACAACATCCTCTCAATAACCTGGCAGCAAAATGTTGCCCACCTGGGATGGCCTTCGCATGTCGTCACGGCAATCATCCTCTGGCCGAGCACTCGGTTGACTTTAATAGCACCTGCCGTCTCTGCCTGCCCCACGACACCCCATGATAAGCAAATCCATCTCGTGCACAAAGTGTAACAAGACACGCTGCTGCCCGCAGGGACCCATGGAAAATCAGTTTCATGTTAGCCGCACAGCATGACCCGATTGCGTCACGGTTTCGTTCCACCTTCACGAACGCTCATCCTTGCTCCATCGTGTCTGACGGCTCCAGCGGATTCCGTGCGCCGTCACACCTTCACCCTTCCATCCCTCGTCTCGTGTGCTGTCTCTTTGTCAACTAACTGTGGAAGTGATCGTTTCCATTGTGGGCAAACCCGACTGAGCTGCTACTGGTCCTCTGAGCAAAATGGGTGTCACCACTGGAACATTTATTTGGGGGTGGGTGGGTTGAAAGCCCTCCCCCATTCCCTTCCTTGCACTTTTTGCTCCCTACATCCTCCTTCGAAAAATTGTCAAGAGTAGAGGAGGTAATCCAGGGGCAAGCAAGCTCCAAAAGGGCATTTTCCATCCCCAGTCACATCAAGCCCAAAGTGAGTGAAAGTCCATACCTACTTGAATAAATAATCATGTGCCGTTAAGCTCATTCTGACTTATGGCGACCCTTTTCAGGTTTATCCATGTAGAGAATAGAAGTGCTTTACCCTTCTCTTCCTCTAGGGGCAACCTTGAGACTCTGTGCAGCTGGCCCAAGGCTCCAAAGGCTGGCCATTCTCCCAGGAGGCACCGTGGGGGAATCAACCCCCCTAACCTCTATCTAACTCACGGAGCTA